GAGAGAGAGAGAGAGAGAGAGAGAGAGAGGGGCGTAGAGAGAGATAGAGAGACACGGACACGGAGAGAGAGGGATGGGGGGAGAGGGGGAAGAAGGGGGCTCCGTCCGTCCTAAGCGTCAAATAATGCAGGTTATAAACTGGAGGGACTTTTATGTTCCTTTCAATATCGTTCCGGTTGAGAGACGCAAAAAACACAAACTGTTGCTATTATTGTAAAAATGGCCGTCGTGTTTAAAATTTACAGTTTAAAACTGACATTTCGTGTCACCCAACCTAGGATTTACAGACAGAAAGAAATTAACAGTTTTAAATTGCGTAGAGTGATGACAAAGCGATGTGTATTCGGATGATCGACTCTCGGCCCCTGGTCCGTTGATTTCAGAGGTACATGCAGAAGCTCCTGAGCCCGCTGTGGGAGCAGGTCGCCCCCGCGGACCCCTCGACGTCGGCGACCCCGTCGCCCGTCGAGGCCAACACGACGAAGGAGCAGCTGCTGCACCGCGCCGAGATGGTGTCCTGGTCGTGCTCCATGCACGTCGACAAGTGCGAGGACTGGGCCAAGCGCGCCGTGCACAAGTGGAGGCTCGAAGAGGACCCGGACACCACGAACCCGTACGAGAGCTTCACTATTATTTTGAAAAACACCCGAGGGGTCCTCCACTCAAAAGAAATCAGTGTACACCCTTCGTAAAATCACGAAAAAATCATAAAAATTCATGAAAAAAATCACTTAAAAATCACGAAAAATTGACGAGGAGTCAGAAAAAAAATCACAAAAAAATCACAAAAGTTTAAGAGAAAATCACAAAAAATCCAGAAAAACAGAAAAATCGGTGTACGCTACACTTTATAGTGAAGGACCCCTCGAAGATACCCAACGAGACACGTCGGTTTCACGTCGTCGCTTCGGTCTCATTTCGCCAGGGTGCCGGCGATGCTGCGGGCCACGGCGTACTGCACGGCCGTGTCGTCGGGGTCCTCTGACCTGTGGGACTTCATGTGGCAGCGGTACCTGGCGGCGGGCAGGAAGAACGTGGACCAGCAGGACAGCATCCTGAGCGCGCTCGCCTGCACCAGCGACCCGGCGCGGGCCGCCTAGTGAGTAGGCCCCGCGGCGGGGACGGCCGCGCGTTGGGCGGCCTACCCGCCGGACCGCGGGCGCCCACCGGGGCCTCGTCCGAGAGGGTACAAATATTATGCGGCCCTATTGGAGTCCATGGGGAATCACATGATATTTGTAGAAATGTGATAGGCTATTTTTCGGTCCAGAGTCACTATTGGAGTCCGTACCGCGTGGTATTTGTACCCCCGGCTCGAAAACACTCTTTCCAAAATATTGACCATTTGCTCATTTGCCTTTAGTGTCTGGGCGGACATTCGGTAAGTTTGCGATCATTTAGTCAAACGAGTCAAACATAATCCACATGCATGTGAATTCCCCACGCCAGCCTGCTGGAGCGCTCGATCAGCGACGGTGACATTCGGCCGCAGGACGTCGGCACGGTGTGGTCGGCGGCTGGGGGGAAGCCCGTGGCCGGCCTCGTCGTGTTCCGGTTCCTGCGAGAACACTGGCCGCGCATCCACCAGAAGTTCGGGGCCGACTCCCTCCTCAGCTCCGCGGTGGTGACGGCCGCCAACCGCCTCTCCTCCAGCTCAGATCTAGACGACGTAAGTGCACATTTTCATTTTCAAAGAAAAAAAAAATGTTTTTT